CAAAAAAATCAAGGAGAGTCGAGTACTACTTACCTCGGTAAATGCTAACAAACCTAGTCCGGTAGCCACCGCGAGGCCAAAAATTACGGATACAGCCTCAGAACCATCCTGGAAAGTGGAAACCATTACAATTCAAGATCTTTGCTTACAAAACAACAGGAATTGCAAAACACTAAAATTCGTTTAAAGAAGAAAATGAAAAACAATAAAATTCGTTTATATGTGAGAATTGAAATACGTACACCAAGCAAGCCATCGAATGCATCTGTCACACTGCCAAAGTCAAAAGCGAAAGATTTTTGTGGTAATATCCATGGAAGACTGCTGTTCTGTATACAAAATTAACAAATAAAACCATAAAAAAAATTAAATAGATTTCAAGAAATAAAAACAAAATTAAAAGAATGTAATTAACAAACCGCCCATCCACGTGGCCCTTCTGCTCCATCTTTTATAGCGTAAGCAGCTTTGAAGCCATTTACAGTCACCAATTCTGCAACAAGTTCAGAGCTCCCATCGAATCTGGCTTTCAACATACATTTAGCATCAATTTTAGATCTTGAAAACCTAAATCATTTAAAGAAAGATTGGGGAATTCTCAATTCTGCCTTACTTGTCCAAAATAAACAATGTGGTGTTCTCTGGTTCTTTGAATTTCAACGAAAGCTTCTTCAAGAATCCTGGTTTGTCATCACCATTATAAGCAATCCTAATTGGCTTCTTCTTCAAACCCTTAATGTCTGGACTACCCCCTGCCCTAATGTCAGAAGCAGTCCTAATATCAAGCAATTGAGCATTTTCATCATCGCCCAATTTCCCATACGCAATTCTCGCAGTTTCAACCCCCCATGGCTTACTCTTCCCAAATACTTGAGAGAGGATTAACGGCAAAGCTAAAGCGGCGGCGCCACCAGCTAACACCAGAGGATTCTCAGTAGCGAAATTGATTATACCATCGAAAACACCGCTGATATCCAAATCAGGTGCTGAGAATGAGGAATCAGAAGTTGTTGATTGATTCAGTGCTTCTTCATACGTAAGTGCTTTTGCGAAAGCAGAATTGAAAACAGAGGATATAAGCACCAGACTACTGCCATGGAATTGGGGTTTTGAGATTTTTAGGTGGTGAATTGTGGGGAACGATGATTGTTTTTTGGGTTCTGGTTTAAGTACGGAAATGGGTTTTAACACAACTGCATTGAGGGCTTCCATAGCATAATCCTTGATGTGAAAGAACTCAAGAACAGATTGATGAAAGTTGGTTAATCACCATGAGAATGTTGTTTTAATTTTCTGGGTTGTTCTGGAATCTGGAGGGTGTAATATGGGTGGACGTGCTGAGGTGGAAGGAAATTTGAGAAAGGTTCCAATGAACGAGTGACATGTGGCAAGTCAGGATCAGAAGCTTTGATGATCATGTTTTGAGTTATATGGAAGTGTTTTGTATGGTGGAGAAATCGTATCATGCCATGAAGGTGAAAAATGTAGCTTAAAGGGTGTTGACTTTTAACACACAGACTTTATAATCAAAGTTTATAAACGATTAAAATCGATTAAGTTTAATAAAGTAATATACTAATATTTTTTTAATAACTATATTGTTTGATGCATACGTTTCATTACTCTAGGAAAATTTAATCATATATCTTAATACGTACTCTCGTTTTTCTTTCTTTATTTATTTTTCTAATTTATAAACAACTTTTTCTTTTTGTAAAAGTTTGTATCGATATGGCGGGTAAACTACAACAATCTGTGATGTTAATCTTTTTTGAAAGACAAAATTAATTCTTTAAAAGATTATATCTATAGATTTGTAGAATATAATATTACTATGCATAACCCGTTAGATTTCTATTGAATAGTTCCACACATGCAAGAAAACCAAAAATATCAAATGCGTATGCATCAAGGTGTTTTGACGTCTAGTTTGTAAGGAAAATTATGATTTGAAAATTAAATATGTTAATTGTTTAAAGTAATAATAATTAGGTAATTGTATATCTATTTCAACGAATAATATACATTCGAATTTTGATAAGTTTCCCTTTTTGCTCTTTATGCAAAAAATTTACATTTTGGTCCTTTAGCTAGTATGTGGGGCATACTTTAGAATACGATTGGCGTATTAGCCCAATCCGGATCGTAGGACTCATCCACGTACACGGGGCGTACGTGGAGTACGCAAGGCTGGGACAAATCCTAATTTTTAGGGGTTGTGTCATATTTAAACGACTTAAACCCACCCCATTGACATTATTGACCAGCCTCCACCTCCCTTTACTCTGAAAACGAAACCCTAAGAGCTTTTGGTGAGATTTGAGCTTGAAAAGTGATTTGCTGGTGTTTGCGGTGAAGAAGTAGAGAGGAACACTTTGAGGAGTAGCTTGAGCTTGTAGATCCAGGATTACCTTCTCATTTGCAAGATTTTTGAGGTAAAAAGCTCACATCTTGATGATCATTTGTGTTAGATCCGTTTTATGGAGTCTTGTGTGCATTTTGAAGTCTTTTGTATTGAAGTTGAGCTTTTGATATACTCCAGAGGCCATGAATGTTAGATCTTAGCTATAATGAGGCCCATAGTTCATAAAAGTGCAAATTTTATGAATGTTATTTGTCTATGCAAGTATTAAGACCTTTATTAAGATCCCTTTGGAGCCTTAAGTCCCATTAAGACATGAATGAGTGTAAAGTTGCCAACTTTACGTGATACGTCACCCTTTAAGACCAGGTCTGAGAGTTTGGCTTGAGGTCTCAACCGATTAAGTGCTTAATGGTGTAAATTGGCAATCTGGGGTGTACGTTGGGCGTACCAAGTTGGTATGTTGCGCATACTGGGCCCGGATGGAGTACGCTAAGCGTACGAGCTGACTACGCCCTACGTACTCAGCAAGTGGGCTTTCGGGCTTGGCAATCTTCGGTATTGGGCCATAGTTTGGGTTTGTAGACTTTTGTTTCAGATACTTCTGATGATCGCGGGAAGGCGAAGGCGTGATCATGCACCTCCTCATATTTTCATGATTGATTATGGGGATACTCTGATGTTTAAACTATTTTGAAAACAAATTGTAATAACTTAATGGTTTCTAAATGTTTTAAAAAATTTTAAATTGGGTTGAATTTTATGGGTGTTACAAGTTGATTCTTGAGCATATAGATCCAACAAGATAAACCTGCTTGGTGGCTAGTTGAGCGGGTTAGTATACTTTTATTATATTTTATTTTATTTATTAATTTAGTTAAAAAGTACTACTTCAATGAGCCGCATGCATGCTAGTTTTTAGGCGAGCTAAATATTAGTACATTGACTATCACTTTATACGACGGTATGATGACAAGTGGATACTTCCAATCATTCACTAGCCAAGGCGGGTTCAAAGCTTTCACTAGAAATATATCTAAAATTCTAGATGAAATTTTCTACTAGAATCATTCGGGTATGGTGAGAATGGAGGATAAGTTGAAATTTGTTCCCATTGTAAGCATGTCGCAACAAGAGGGGAAGTTTAGGAGACTATGGTGTCTTTTTTTTTTCTTGCATGTTTTTGGAAAAGTTGGTCTCCAACATTATTTTACAATTATAACAATCACCTAAATATTATGTTATTAATTATCGGCACAAAATGGTTAATATTTTTGGGGTTCAAGATAAAATGTATCATTGTTAACTAGATTTTAAGATAGATGTATAATAGGTAACAAAGGAATACAAAGCTAACTAACGTAACTTATCTTACAAAATAGACTTTGCGATACTATATTATGGGAAGTGATATTTCCACTTAATAAATTGATTTATCTATTTGAAATGTATGTTTTAATAATTTGTACGATAGCTGCAAATGTGTTGTACTTTATTTAAATATTATACTTTTAGTTTCCATCACAAATTAATACATATCTAACTAACATAATCCCTAAATATAAAAACACAATCGAAGTCAAAATACAAAACCCCAACTCCTAACTAAGCAAATCTCCAACTTCTTATTTGGCCTTTCAAGATCCGCCTAACCAATCGCAAATTGTTATGACCTTTTTCATCACTAACACAACAAATAAACAACATTTTGGTCCATGTGAAAATTTTGAAACAATTGTTTCAGATCAACGAGAATAAGAGAAAAAAAAAATGAAAAACAACATTACATTTTTGGACAAGCATAAATTTTTCTTCCCGGGTTATTTAGGTTCATTGAGGTCGTTATAATCGCTAAACTTCCTCAATCACACTTTGTCATGTGTTGGATTTAATCAAAGAACTTCCACAACAATCGATTGTCATTTGTTTGATTTTACATAATTTATATAGATAGTTTGAGCATTCCCTAGGTTCATAGTACGAATGTCTACGTTAATTGTAGAGTAGGTATATCACGTTCATAATACTTATGTTAGGTTCCTTTTAAGTTTTTTTTTAAACCAAAGTCACTATTAATTTTCCAGAACAAAAATATGATTTTTAAGGATTTATATTGTTCAGTTCAGTACATAATATCATTCCGCAAAGGTTACTACGGACTGATGTTACGTACCGCAGACACACGTGAAATTATGAAGAAAAAAAATCCCTATTTTTGACAGATAACATGAGTTTGTAGTACAAAATCAAATCCGCAGTGACGATGAGTCCGCGGAAGCCCTTCTGCGAACTCATTGATCAGTTTTGGAAACGTCCTTTTTTTAGGACATTTTTTGGAAGTTAAGTGTGTTATTTGGTTTTAGTTAGTTTTTGCAAAATCTCAAATAAAAAAAACTATTATTGTATATGCTCTTAGTCCGGTCTAATCTAATCACACCTCTATTGTAAAATCTTAGATGTTACAATCAGTCCATGTGAACTTGTACTACATGTACTAGGCGTACTACATGCGTTCTTGATTTTTATTTGTATTATTAGGCCATGTACGATACATGCATCAATATGCTTAATTCAATAAGATATTTCTAAAAAATCATCATCAACGAGCAACAAGTTCAATGTAAACATTAATAAATGTATTTAATGTAATACTACGTATCTAGTTAAGTCTCATCCGATCAAAAATCAAAATGATACACAAATTACAGTGAATTGTATCTAACCCTAAACCCTAAATCTTAAACCATAATAGAGAAATGGAATTTGAGGTGAAAATGATTATACATGAATCTAAAACAAAAGATGAGAAGGATATTATAATAAAATTGGATTAAATATTTATCCTAAAGTTTGAAACTAGAAGATCTAAGTAAATTACAAAAGATGGAAGAAATAATCTAAACCTTGACCGATTTCCCAAATGGAAACAGCAACACCCCATGATCGAGCTTCATCCAACCGCATTGCAATGGACATAAGTGATGGGTAGAACACAACATGTTTCACAATGTTATTATTATTTTCATCAGAATACAAGAAAAAATGCTCCCCACTTTTCTTCTCCCATTGCAATTCTGGCTTATGCTTTTCCAATAAAGAAAGATAGTCTCTTCCAAGAATCGCTCCACCACCCAAACCTCCTTCAAATAACACAAAAGTCAAAACACCAACCATTTTTTCACAGTTTGTACTGTGTTTGAAATATATTAGACTATTGATATTGACATGTATTAATATAAAATTAAGTAAATTATAACTTCAGTCTCTGTACTTTTTACTGTTTGTTATGGGTTTGGTCCAATATTTTTTTTCCTTTCGATGCGAAATTGTTGTCGTGGTTTCAATTTGTTGCAGTTTTAATCCCTATAACGTGTATAACGACTATTTTATCCTTATATGTTTGTTGAATTGTTGGAAGTACCAATGTTGATAAAAAAGATTGAATACATTACAAGTTTGGTCCTTGTGCTGAACCATTTGTTACAGGTTTGATCCAAAAAACATTTGTATTGTAAATTTGGCCATATGGTTTGATTTTGTTGCGGTTTTGGTCTCTGACACGTGTAAAATGACTAATTTGCCCTTATATGATATTTTTATGGGATTAACGTTGATACAAATTTTGATCATGTGATCTACTGCTTGTTATGGGTTTTTCCAAAGAAAATCTTTTTTGCACATACACCCATGTGGTTTCATTTTTGTAAATTACAAGTTTAATCCCTATGCCATATCATTTGTTATTGGTTTGGTAAAAAAAGTCGTTTCAAAATTGCCCCTATGGTTGCTTTTTGTTGTGGTTTTGGTCTGTAACCAATGTAAAATGGCTGTTTTGCTCTCATATGATAGCTTTTGGGACTAATGCTAATAAAAAGTTGAGTAAATTACAACTTTGGTCCCTATGCTATACTGTTTGTCATGAGTTTTGTCCAAAAAATAGATTTTGTTGCAAATTTGCCCTCCTGTGGTTTCATTTCGTTGCAGTTTTCGTCCCTAAAATGACTATTTTGCCCTTGTATGATATGACACAAACACATACCTCCTTGAAGAACAAAATCATTCCCATAGAAGTTGATGCCTAGAAATATTTTTTGAGACAAATTCTGAGAGCCACCAAGGAGCAGCTGCAAAGTAGAAGTGATCCACTTCAATGGTGCATTGGGACCTGGATTTTGAGGATTTGAGAAGTCATAAGTCATAAGGGAGTAACCATCCACGTCATCACTCAAGCTTTGTAGATCTTCAGGCCCAAAATCATACTCTTGGACCTTATCAGAACGTGGTGGCCCAATAACATATATTAATTGCAGATTCCCCACAGCATGCATGGATTCTCCCAATTTTTTAACAAACTGAAGTGCCTGATTTTGTAAACATATTTAATCAAAATTGGAAATTAAAGTTAGAAATCATATACTTCCTCTATTAACTTTTTTACTATAAAAAGTTTATCAATCAACCAGTTTCCGCATGTGTGGATCATGCAAGACACCATATGCAGCCCATCTTGACCAAGATTCTAGAACAATGCCATCAAAATCCATCTCCCTGTAATGTCAAAAAGACCAAATTAAGTAAAAAGACTAGCATGGAAGTACTAGAATTGGTTGAAACTTGAAATAGCAGAAATGCTTACTTGCATTCGGTTATAATAAGGTCAATTACTTTAGCCCTCTGTTTCTTCTTTTTTAGCATGTCCATAGGAATAGCTTCAAGTACAAATCTAGGTAAAATCTGTCAATAATGAGCCAACATGGAAACAAGAAACAATGAGATAAATTAGTTATCATAAATTTTAACACTGGTATGAAAATAGGTGAGGTGAAAGTACCAGAGCATTTCCCTTCATTCGAAGATCTGAAATCCATCCTTTATCAACATTATGTCTTCCTTCCAGGATAAACTCAGCTCCTTGACTACAAGAACACAAGACAAGAGAATGTGAAAATGTGTAGCAAAGAAGCAAGCTGTTTCAACACAAAGGATGGAGAAGCTAATGGGATTTATGATCATAATCCAATAGTACCTTTTTAGATCATACCACACTGGTGATATATGTGTAATCTTAGAGTTGAACTCTTTTGCCAGATCATATCCCTTTGAATTCCTGCACAATTGAACTGAAGATGTAATTGGGAAAATGAAAAGAAAATCAGTGGTGGATCTAACTATCTAATATCTATCATCTCCAAAATCTACAAACACACGTAGATCAAATGAAGTGTCGGTTACCATGGTGTAACGTAAGCCAGCACGGGGTTTGGAAAATGCCGAATTGATGTATTCTCTGAAACTTTTGCATTTTCCTGAATCACTTCATTGATTAACAAACACAAGAAAGATAATGAAACTTACAACTCTTTTGTTCACAACAGAGAGCAATTGTAGAACAAAACTTGGCAAATTCTTTACGGACGCTTAAAAATTCAGTGGAATTTCATGAACTACTTTATAATTGAGCTCTAAAGATTTTCTATTTGCTGTTAGAGGATAGAAATTCAGAAAAAAAAAATTGAACAATTCAGCAAGTTAAGTGCATACAGTGAGGATTTCTTGGTAATTGATGTCAGTCTTCACTAAGCCTCGTTGGTATACGTACGGAAGCGAAGAATCTAGGTCCGTATTCGAAGCGTATAGCATACGGTATACATATGATGAAATGGCAGGAGATACGATCAGGAAGAGTAAAGTGTTGAGCATACTAAGCCGTTTGTTAGGGTTGATGACACGGCTAGAAGAATCCTCGCGATTTGAAGGCACTGAACTGCTTGATCGGCGGTCGGAGCGGTCGGACTTAACCGCTGCTCGCCGGCCTTGTTTTTTCGCCATCGCCGTTTTTCCTCCGATTATTACCGGCAAGATCTACCGATGAGTGAGAAGCGAGAACCCCTTAAACCCCTTTGAGTTTCATATAAAACTGCTCCCTGGACTATTTGTAAATCTGCATATTCATTTTTAACTTATAATATATGTATTACGATCCATATTGTGATTCTATTAAATTCATAAATTTAACATGCAACATTTATAAAAACGGGAGTGATTTATCCGTAATATTTTTTTAGTCGTACAACTATATAAAATATAAATTATCATGTATTGTTAAAAAAAAAATATTATATATAAATCATCACAGAATATGCATCTCAACACGTATATAGAATCATCTTAATTTTTATCTAATCAAGTTGGTTGTGAAATAAATATCTATTTAGATGATAATTTTTCATTCAGTGATTTAAATGAAAGTGAAACGAATTACTAACTATATGGTTATATTTTAAATTGTTTGTTATTGTGTCTTTTATTACGATGCCTCATAATCCTATATGTTTCGAGTCTCATACCTTAATATGTTTGTCTTAGAACAAGTTCTTTATGATTCGTTATGACTATTATACACAAATCTTTTAACTAGGTTACTAACTTAATTAGTTCTAGTATTTGTCATTATTTGTTGCACTCTTGATCCATAAAATATTGTATGCAAGGATAAGGGCCCATATGTGCGAGTTTCATAACTAGAGGGTCTAATTTTGTACAGAATGCAATTTTTAATAAATCGGTAATATACCCCAAAATCTAGAGGTGTTTGGTATAGCTTTTTAAATGACTTTTGACTTTATCTTTTAGAAAAAGTCTCAAAAGATGTTTGACAAAGGGAAAAAGACTTTTGTAAATGATTTTTTCCATAGAGTAATTTGAGTTTTTTTGAAAAGTCAGAATTACCTGACTTTTTCCAATTTTTCATAACTTTTCACCAGCTAAAAATATTAAATTACCAATATACCCTTCATCTACCCTAAACATATCTTTTTTTTTTTTTTTTTATCATTTTACATGTAAAACTTAAACCACCACTTTAATTTTTTATTTTTTCCTTTCAAAAATCAATCCAAACACATTTTAAAAAATAATTTTTGTAAAAAGTTCTTTTAAAAAAAATCCTTAAAATTAAGCCAAACACCCTACTAGTTTCATGACTCATGAGGAAGATAAGGCGAGAGCAATCACATAAACCCCATATCAACGTGTTCAGATTTTATAAACCCTAATCCCCAATCGTACACGGTAGCCTGTAAGTCCTTATTTCATCAATCTCTCTCCCTCTCTGCGTATATATCGCAAGGTTTTAGCTTTCCAATGATAGCTACATATCTGCATGACGAATTCCTTCTGTGATTTGCTAAAGTTATTGCAATTTTGACCTCAAATGGCATCATCTCTTACCACTTTACCTTTCTTCATATCACACCAAACATCTCGAATTCAAAAACCTAGATTTTCCTTGGAGAATCCTGTTTCAGTTTCTAAAACACCACTTGAAAAGACACCGTTTTTAGGGAAGAGTTTGAATTTACAAGCGGGGAGTTTCGGCGGTAATTTTGGGAAAAACCATGTCCGTATTTCTCCGATTCAAGCAATAGTGAAGAGGAGGAAAGAGCTTCCTTTCGACAACGTGATTCAAAGAGACAAGAAGCTGAAACTAGTTATGAAAATCAGAAAAATCTTACTGACTCAACCCGATAGAGTTATGCAACTTCGTGATTTAGGTAGGTTTAGAAAAGCATTAGGGCTTCAAAAACGCAGACGCTTCATCGCACTTTTGAGAAAGTTTCCTGGTGTATTTGAGATCGAAGAAGAAGGGGTTTACTCCCTCAGATTCAAACTAACACCTGAAGCCGAAAGATTGTATCTTGAAGAAATGAAGGTCAGAAACGAAATGGAAGATCTATTAGTTGTTAAACTAAGAAAACTACTAATGATGTCATTAGACAAACGAATCCTTGTAGAAAAGATAGCTCATTTGAAGAACGATCTTGGCCTTCCATTAGAGTTCCGTGACACAATCTGTCAAAGGTACCCACAGTACTTTAGGGTTGTAAGAACCGATAGAGGCCCATCTTTAGAGCTAACACATTGGGACCCTGAACTCGCAGTCTCATTTCAAGAGCTTGAAGAAGAAGATAAACTAGCAAAAGAAGCAGAAAAGAGAGATTTAATCATTGATAGACCACCAAAGTTCAACAGAGTGAGACTTCCAAAGGGTCTTCAACTTTCAAAAGGTGAAATGAGACGTATTTCTCAATTTAGAGACATGCCTTTCATCTCACCTTATTCAGATTTTTCCTCATTAAGACCTGGTAGTGCTGAAAAAGAAAAACACGCTTGTGCTGTTGTACACGAGATATTGAGTCTTACAGTTGAAAAAAGAACTTTAGTTGACCATTTGACTCATTTTCGTGAAGAGTTTAGATTCAGTCAACAACTTAGAGGGATGCTTATAAGACACCCTGATATGTTTTATGTGTCTTTAAAAGGAGACCGTGATTCTGTGTTTTTAAGAGACGCATATCGTGATTCACAATTGGTTGATAAAAATCGGTTGTTGATTATTAAAGAGAAGCTTCGTGCTTTGGTTTCTGTTCAGAGGTTTAGAGGGCGTGTGGTGAAAAGTGATGAGAGTGGTGGTGATGAAGAGGATGAGGTGGAAGAAGAGGATTGGTCGGATCTTGATGAGTTGGTGAGTAATGAAATGGATGATGATGATGATGATGATGATATGCCTCCTGATTTTGATGAAGATGATGAAAATGTGAAAATGAATCAAAGGAAAGAAGCAAATCAAGATGAAGAAAAAGTTCATGATCCTGTGTTTCCAGATGGAAAGCCAAGAGAAAGATGGTAAGTTTTGATATTGTGTTGCTTTATACATTGATTTGAGTCATAAGGGGCAAAAAGGTGACTCGTTTGTAATGAGAGGGCAAATATGTAATTTACATTTGTTGTGAAGCTGAGTGGTGTTGATGTACTAGGGACACTTTCTGTTTTCCTCTCAATGCTACATGTAAGGTTCTACAAATGGCTATGAAACTATAAACTGAATTATTTGTGGTAGTGTTTATTCGAAATTGGAGTGTATTGTATGTTCTTGTTTTAAAGAAATTTGTTAGATCAGATATAGAAAAAACAAATAATAAGTCTTGGATTGTTGGATTTTGTGGGATTTGGATGGAATTGGAATTGGATTCCAATCTTGCTTTTTGAGTTTTGATTGCGAATAAGTAGGGAATTGGTTATTACTGGAATTCACAAAATCCTTTGAAACGGTGGATTTCAACATTCCATTATACAACCCATGGAATTTAATTTACCGCATTTACTTATTGTTTAATATGATATGATTGGTTCGTTTTTTGTTGTTGGTATTAAAGAATACATTACTCTATCATCTCAACCAAGCTTTTTTGCTTCTATTTCTTACTTATTCTTGTTGTGGAGATGGATAAAAGGGGATGAAATTGTTTTGCATTCACCATATTTTGTATGTAGTTTAATGGAATGAGATCTAGCATCATAATTATTTGTTAGGCAAAGCTAGTTTGCAACTAGTTGAATTAAATGTAATTGAAATGCCATATTCCCAACATGTTTGAAAACTTTTTGGGTGTTATGGATTAAAGATATGGTTGCAATTTTAGATGCCTCTCCAATTGACATTTGAAACCCTGCTAAATTACACGAATGGTCCCTATGGCTTAGGTAATTCGCAAGCTTGGTACCTAACTTATTATTTTAACGCAGAAGGTATCTACTGTTTTTTTTTGTTATGTGCTTGGTTCTTGTTTTACCTAAAAAGATTATTTTTGCCATTGATTTTTTAATTTATTTAAATAAACATACCCTCAACCACACCCCTTCATGTTACCTTACTTATCCTACAATTTTTCTATTCAAATAATAATCTTTTTAGGTAAGATAGGGACCAAACACATAACAAAAACAAACTGTAAAGACCTTCCGAATTAAAATAATAAGTTAGGAACAAACACACAAACTACCCCAAACCATAGGGACCATTCATGTAATTTACTCTGAAAGATTTTGTTCCAAATTTGAGATATGAAGATTAGGAGCATTACCATTGGATGCCTTGATGCTCTTGGTCCTATGCTACTTTGGGGTTGAATTCACCGTGAAGACCTTGTTTTTTTGCCAATTTACGAAAATGCTAAAAGTCCATATAGGGCAAAAAATGTAATGACACATGTTTTCTTTTATCCACTGCCAAGTTTTAGATAAGATCTTTTAGATGTTTTATTCTCCACCCACAAGGAATTGACTTTGTGCAACAAAGTCAAACCCCACCTACATCAATCCTAACCTCCTATAAAAGGCCAATGGCCAAGCCATTCCAAATTCAAACATCCACGGTGTAGTGTGTGTAGATTATGGGGTTCACTTGAGGCAAAAGTTGTTAACTCTCCCTCAAGGGCTTCTCATTTGCCTTCCTATTTCACACATTTGTGGCGTTGTGTGTGTAAATTATGGCACAATAGAAGCTCTTCGAAGGAGGGACGACAAATTTGGTCTTATAGATTTGATATTTTGTTCTTGGTATAATTCATCGTGCAAGAGCAAATGAATCTATATTCTTGTGTTTATTTTAACTTTATATTCTAATGAAACAAACATTTTTATTGTTTTTTATTGTTTATAAGGACAACATAAGCATCATTTATTGAGTTGAAGACTCTTTATTTCGGACGATCTCGTCACTCGCCAACATCATATCAATGCTTGGGATTCAAATTCATAATAATTATTGGATTTTCTTATCACGTGTCTTGTTATATCCATCATCGTGTATGAAGCGGTCAAATGCATCAATGGACAAACTAATGTCGTAAGTTCATTATGGATTGGATATTATACTTAACTGTTCTTCATGTATGTATTTTGGCATTTTTTATTGTATCATATCTTACATGGCAATGGGTTTTAACATAATAAGTTACTTACACATATATGGTGTTATTTAAAACCTAGATTGCTTCTCAATCCAACTCGAGAATGGATGCACAACGCCGATCAAATAAGGAAATCTAGGCCATGTCTTCTTCCTCTTACCTATCTAAATCAAATATGGAGGTGCATTCTCAATATCCTTGTGATTGAGGTTTACAATCACGAATTAGGACCTCTTTGTATAGGATAACCCTACACCAAGGTTTAGAGTTGCACCTAATTTTGTGGTAAATGTTTTTCCATTAACTGTTAGACTGAAGCAATAAATGTTATGAACCCTATTTGCTTGTTAATATTTATGTAGGATCCAAAGAAAAAATGTTAATTTGTTGAATGTTTTGATCCAAAACTTCCAAATGAGTCATATGAAGTTGAAGAGGATGAAGTGGTAATTTTGAACTAAAGATACATAAATGCGTATAGGATCAAGATAGACCAGGAAGCTAAAGGTGTTATAAAGAAATTGGAGAATATTATTTAAGGTGTTTGGGATTTGCTTATTGAACTTAATAAACATTTCTTTGATAAAAATGCTTATTAGCTTATGTAATTACAAAAAATTTAAAAATGTTTAGTTAACTATGTGATGACAAAAAGCTACAGGACGATAATTTTTTTCTTCAAATGTTTAGATTAACTTATATATGTCAAATGGCCAAAAAGATATATTACATATTTAGAACTATTTAATATTTTTATATATAATATTTTATGTAAAAATATTAAGTTATAAGCTAAAAGGGTTAGATTTTAATGAAGATATTATAGTTTTTTTTTTCATCTTTATAAGTTATAAGATGTTTTAAAAAATCAAAATATTGTGAATTATGAAAAATAACTTTATAGGGTGGTAAAAAACTATTTTCAAAAGTTTTAATATTTTTATTAGTTTTTCAAACATATTTTAAAGTTTTGACTTATTAAAAAGCTAATAAATCAATAAAACCCTTCTTCAAATTCAATCTTGAACTAGTTTACTTTATTTGTGGCTTAGGTAGTTTGCCTCACTTGGCATAAATCAATAGTACAGTTTTAACCATTTTCATAAAGTTTCTTGAGTTTTAATTTTGTTTGTGGTTTAGGTAGTTTGCCTCACTTGGCATGAATCAAATAGTAACGTTTGTTGACCATTTTAATGAAGTTTCTTGAGAATTGTTAGGAAGTTTTTTGACATTTAAAATAGTTCAATAACATGTCATGGACATACATGAATAAGATGAACCATTTTATTTCTATTCAATGGCCATAAAATGTACCAAAATATACCAAAAGATGTTTATAAAACAAAATTTGTACTTTCTTAAGGTATCATATTGTTCATGCTTGTCTAAGTATTTTGTAGGGATTATTATATCAAAAGACAAAACTGATCTAAAAAATTGAATCTTGTTTTATATGCACAATAGTTGATCAAGTAAACATAAGTATATAGATTATTTCAAGTGTAAGACGTGCGGTCGACCTAAAATAAGTGTTAATAATATATATTGTATTAACTAGGTTAAAACCCGTGTGATACACGGATTGACAAATTAAAATACCAAAACTAATACATAATAAGTGGTTTGCAATAAAAAAAAAAAGCAACAATATTCAAATCTAATTGGATGGCATGCTATAGTTTGGTAATTTTTTAAAATACAATGTTACAACAGGAAAAAATAAAAGTGTGATGCTATAATAAGTAAATCAACAAAAATACATTGTCATTTCTTGTCAATTATATAATGTCTTAATGAAGAAAATAATAATAAGAAAAATTATGATTCAATTTGAGTTTTAAAGAAGTCATGGCTAAATAACTTGAGAACCTAAAAAGATGCAACAAACTTTAGCAACTAACTCTTAAATGCATAGCACCTACCAACACTTTAACAATGAGAGTGACTGGGAATTATGAAGCAATCATCACAACAGCCCCAATGGCATTGAGCGTCAGAAGATATTTGTAGAGACACAAGTATGATGCTATAATTGGGTATATTTTACAATACATTGTTGTAATACACAATCAATTTTTTTACATTGTTATTTTTTTGAATATAGATTAAAAATGATTTAACGCAAAATGTACTGTGCAGTGGAAACTATGGATAAGAAAAAAAATATTGATAATTAAAAATCAAAAGATATATAAAATTTTATTAAATTAATAAGATATAAGTTTTTTTGTCTAAATTTTTAATTGTCTAAATCATTGAGTGTTCTATTTGAGTTTCACAACTATCAATACAATATTTCAACTTACTCCTAATGTGTCCGATTGTCCACAACTCCTAAATTTCTTAATGGCCTTATAAAACCTTAGCTAAATCACGAATATGCAAGAAGTCACAACTGGGCATGAACATTCAACTGTTCCCAATTTTTAAAATTAAAACGCATGATGTTTTCTTACTGTGATCCTATAATTAACAGAAATGTTTTAATAACACATGACAGTCAACCCTCCAATGTTAATACATGTACATTAAACATATATGATGAAAGGAGAAATAAGTACTTGCAGAATGAATATCTCCAAACAGCAAAATACGTATATTTTTCACATGGACAGTGACTGTAAAAAAACCCGTTAACCTATGCCACATCATGCATGTAATTTATGTCTAACATGCAACCAACCAGATATAAAAATTAAAATTAGTGATAAATATTGAGCAAACGACACTACTATTAATTCATTACTACTCAAAAAGATAAATACTTTTTGTTTGTTTAGGTCGTGAGTTATTTAGTACTAAGAAAACAAATTTCAAGGTACCAATTACAAAAGGAAAAAAAAATTATGTTATCAAGGGAATATAATATAGGAAATGTATTTGTAATTCTCGGGTTTCATATCTATCAATATGGTGTCAAGGGAATGTGATTACCAAT